TATAAGGTAAGCGATGGATACCTTGCACCTTTCAGCACCTGCCTATGTATTTGATGTAACACCAGCTAGTCATGTTGGGCTGTTTCTTGCCTTGACAGTAGCAATGGCTGTCCACAAACATTAATTCCAGTAAGATGAGTAAAAGGGCTGATCATTAGAGGCAGATTACTTGGCACAGCAGAAAGTGTGCCAGTGGCAGCAGGAAGCAAATCTAAGAGAGGGAGCAGTATGGAAGAAGATTGGAGGCAAGTTCATTGTAACTGTACATTAGAGCACCAGCACTGCCCTGTGATTTCTTTCTGCAGGCTTTCAAGTGCTTACCATCTCTTAATACTGTTTTAACTTACCAGTTTGTTGTCTCTCTCCCTTTTCCCCCCCATTACTGGTTACAGGTAGAAGGCATGCAGTGTGAAAGCGGAAGCGACACAGATTTACCAACCGCCGCAGCGTCTTCTGTAAGAAGTTAAGAGTTACTAATATTCTCTTACATTTCTCAGAAAAGCCTAATTTCTCACCCTGCTTGCCAAAGAGCTTATGTAGGACATACGGAAGTCCTACAGTCCATTCAAACTAATATGTTGGTGGGACCAGAGAGTTCTGCAGCTGGGCTCCTTGACTGTTCCCAGGTGGTGTTCCAGAAGTACCTTCAGCTGAAGTTTTAGGAGTAGTTGAGATATGCTACTTCCAGCAGCTCTAGATGCTGTTCTGGGCCTTACACCAGCTGGTACCTGACATCTGGACAGCAGCCAAATGTAGTCAGTTGCCGCTGCTTTGTGACTTTGAAAGTTGTGACATGTATAGCAGGCCTTTGCCTTGCCACTAAAAAGGCTGTAGGACTGAAGTAGAAGTAGAGGTCTTTGTGCCACATCTACAAGTTGTGTGTGTACAGGTGAGAGGTGCACCAGGAAGCCTCCTGTAGCGTGCAAAAGGCCTCGGGTGTTAAGCTGAAGAATGGGAAAATGGATAAAAAGAAGAATGGCAAGGGGAAAAATTATCCTGGGTAAATTATCCCAACATTATAATCTGAGAGACTAGTAAAATCCTTAACGCTTGTGATTTCAGATATACATCCCTCGAGTTTTGCATCCTCATTCTACAGAAAGGACGATGCTTGCCCAAAAGGAGCAGCCATCATATGGCACCATGGACAACAGTAGTTCATAGGCAGAAGTTACAAGCTGTTCTGCCCAACCAGCAATTATCAAGGAGGGAGTGAAAGCCTTTTTCTGAATACTGAGGACTAACACAAGATGGAGCACTTGGTCCAGCATTAGAAGAACTAATTCCCCACCACTGTCTGCTAAGTATTCTGATTTATTTTTTTTATGAATTCCTGCCTACAGAAGAGGTATAGAAATAATTCATTGTGTAGTCTGCAGCTGTACTTGGAGATCAAAAAGCAGATGCCTTGGGACTGATTGTTTTCCAGGCTGTCTACACACACTGTTCAACACGTTTGTTTCACAGAGTTGCTGATCCTCAGGGACTTCACGTCTGCTATCTCATTGCTTGCCTTATGAAGATAACTTATGCTGCATATAGATAACTGATCACCAAAGCAAATGTAGCTCTCTATTACCAACTGTCATTTATTTATTCAAAAAGGTTCTTATTAAAAAAGATGCTTTAGTATTTATAATGCTTTTGTATTTATAAACTCCTTGGTATGTGCTAAATCCTGAAGCAGTGTCACTTTTTTTGATGAAAATACTGTTTGTGTGGGAATGGAGGATGGTGTGTGGGAATCTCTCCTCTTTTCACCTGAAGCACGTTACTTTTTCCTTAACTAATGAGATGAGGGAGTTACTGTGCACTTGGACCCTAAAAGTGCCAAAGCACCAAAAAAAAGTCTAGTTTCAGAAAGGAGTGAGTTACCTGATAGTGTTTTTACATGTTTTTGGAGGGCACTTAGGTTGATGTTTTTTGTTCACTGTTTTTAAGGGCCTTCCACAATGAATGTTTACTTGCCAACAATAAAGGGTGTAAATATTTTATCTGTCTTTTAATCTTGGGTCAAAATGACAAATCTCTGGGTTTTCTCTATAGTGCCAATATATGAGCTGTAAGATACTAAGTTTTTAAATTATGTTGTAGATACCAATTTATTCCGAAGTACGTTGTGTCAAAGTGCAACTAATAATCACAAAGCAATAAAACAGTTCTGAAGTTTCAGGCTGTCTTGATGTCTTTTTTTTTTTTTTTTCCCTTTGCCTATTGACATATTTCTTTTGCTAGCTGCCTTGCAGTGTGAGCAGTGTCATGCACTGTTTGTAAGAGCACCGTCATGAGATATACCATGACAGTATGTCCTCTGGAGGGAGTGAATCTTCGACCTCTAGGCAGGGAGATAATTTTTTCATTCCTGTCCTGTGTTTGTTTGCCTGCTCATTGTTAAACTGTTAGCTCCCAAACTTGACCTGTATTAGCACATCTGTGAAGCAGCAACATTGGAAGACTGGAGTAGAACTTGTGCCATAGATGAATATGTTCAGATGTTTAGTGCTTTGCAGGACTACCTCCACCTTCTCCAGATGAGCACTCTGGGCAAATGTCAAGCAGGAGACCTGTCCTGCTGCAAGAACTCTGATAATGCAGATGATAAGCCCATCCTGTTAGTTTTAAGTACACAGCTCCTGGTTCTTAAAAGGTAAGGGCAGAGCCTTTCTCTAGTAGACATGGATTTGCATCATGTTTCTTTATATTCTTGCTTCAGTATTGCAGTTGGGGATGATGTGTGTTGTTTTTATTTTACTTTGTTTTCAGCAGTCACAGTCTTACTAGAGGTGATGTTGTACCCTGAATACACACTGGCATTTAAGACTGGGATTCAAATGGGAAAACAAAACCCAAAGAATCCGTATTTTCTTACTTGTCTCTGAATGTTTCATACAGCTGTGAGGACAGAAGGTGGAGACAGTCTTTTGTATTAATTAGATCAGAAATCTGACTGTTCTAACTCACTCTTTGCTGCAGTACCTCATCCCATGTGGGTGCCTTCAGAAATATTGGACACTTACAAGTACACTAATTGAGAAAGCAAATAAATAATTCAGCTACTACACTTGACCTGTGCACAGTGCTGGCTCTTAGGGATTTTCATGCTCTGTGGTGTAACTTACTTTTTGAACAAGTGGCCTTTCATATTCACATATGTTGTGTCAAAGACAAACTCCTTTGACTCTTGGATTTCCTTTCTGTCAAATTGGTTCCTTTTCTATCTTATTCGCGTGTGGTGGATTTTTTCATACAAGGTGAACAGCATATCAAGCCGCAATAGAGAGAACCCTAATGTAAAAAAAACACAGAAGGAGACTGAAGTCTTGTACTGAGCCTTCTGCTAAAATATTTCATTCTACTGTGCATTTCCTTGCAAGGCTTTTCAAGTGTGCTGCTGCTACTTCTACTACAAAAGTAAAGAAGAAAGTCCACAAGGCACTTACTGCTGCTTAGGAAAAATTGCTTGGCATAACTTTGATCAACATTAACTCTGTGCTTGAATTAAATAAAACATTTCTTAACTAACAGTTGCCCCCTGGGCTTGATTTTAATGGCTAACATCACTGGAATCTACTTTGAGGAAGGCTTTATGTCAATATATTCAGAGATTTCTCAATATCCCTAAGTGACTGGAAAATTATAGCAAATAGTTTTCCCTTCTGATTTTAGACCATGTTTGATGTCACTGGAAAGCCAGAGAGATCCCATTGAAGCAATGGAGCTATAGCAATAGGAATCAAAAGCTGAGATCAGAATGTCAGGTTCTGAGCACTAAGTGCATTTTTAAATTAATAACCTTTGGACAAGAATCTAGTTCTTTAAATGTTTTCATAAAACATTGCTTTTCTTGTGTTTTTAAAGGGGGTATCTAAATAAGGCAGAATAGGTGACATTTGGAGAACTATTAGAGGTGCCTTAGGCCTAGCTTTTAACTTGGATTTTTTTTTTTTTTTGAGAGAGATGTCTTGGAATTGCTGTAATGTAGGGTTGATGACATTGGCCAACTGTTGCTGCCCAGGGAAGTGGTTGAGTCACCATCCCTGGAGGTCTTCAAGAAATGTGTAGATATACATGTAGAATTTAGTAGCATGGTTTAGTTGTGGACTTTAGTACTTGGTAAAGGGTTGGACTAGATGATCTTAGAGGTCTTTTCCAACCTGAATGGTTCTATGATTATATTCTCTCCGCTAACAATGTAAGTGAGGACTATTGGCTTCATTAACATGTCACATGCTTGTAAGTGATCAATTATCAGCTGTTGGTGAGCATTACTCACAGCTGAGTTACGCAGGTCCATGGCACTGACCTGAGATGCACAGTGTCATTTCAAGCACTGTTAACAGCAGCAGATCAGTCGTCAGCAGGTCTCATGCCTTGACCAGACTGGGGAGGGATGTTTAATTGAACTAACGTTGTTAGCTAACACCAGGGCCTGGTGTGGTGGTAGACAATGCACATGTTTAAGCAATGCTTTAGTGTCTCAAAAACTGGCACATCAGAAAGCCGTGTTAAATCCAAAGTGAGCTACCCAGGCAAATGGCAATGTAGTGCAGGGCACAGGCACAGAAGAGTGTGCAAAGCATTGCTTTGAAGTGTGTAAAGGCAAATCCCAAGCTTTTTGCCTGGTCTTAGAAAAAAGCCACATTACCAACAGTCAGACGGCAGACCAAAAAAATAGTGTCCATTTTAAGAACCAGTCTGTTAGATGCTGGAAGAACACTGTAGCAATGACTTGGTCTTGTCAGATAAAAACTTGGTAATAAAGCAGTGATCTGTCCTGATGGCCACTGGGCAATGAGTGCTCGTGGTTGAACAAGCAAACCTGGATTGCTCTGAGCTGTAATCACTAGTCAGCAGTGGCTCCTTCCAGAAAGTGGCCCGTAAATTATTTTCCCCCAAGAGTTAACAGCGTAATTGCACAACTCCAGCCTGAATGCAGATTTTTCCTTTACACAATGACACCTTGTCATCTTTCTGGGCTCATAAAAATCATTAAATCTTACCTAATTGCTGTACTCTGGAGATGGAAAGTCCTTCAGATTAAGGCTCTGTTGGGGGGTGAAGTGATGTTGACTGGAGTTGGTACTTGGTTTCTCCAGAGTTTCTCTCTTTCTACACCTATTCCTGTAGAAGGGTGCAGAAAAATGCATGTGAATTGTCTTCTGTTAGAAGAGTTATTATTTATTAACAAGGTAATTGGTAGAATTTCCACCTAGTCCTGCATATCATTACACTTAATTGGACACCAGAAACTTGAAATTACTACTACTTTTTGGTTATTTAACAAAGATTTTTTTTTTATTATTTAAAGGTTAGTGTTTAATCACTTGTTGACCTAATGATTTAATAATGTAGGTGTATTAAGAAAATAGATCCTAATATACTTTCATAAAAAGTAAAAAACATTTAAAATGTTTTTTGTTTTTGCCTTGGCCTCCACCTCTTTTTGAAGTTTGTTACATTAGATAAGAACTCACAGTGGGGAAAAAGAAGCTTAAATCATATGAGCTACATAGGGTAAGAGTTTACAGATTTCATGTAAACTTATATAAAAAATCCACCTCAGAAACAGGATTTTCTCACAGTGGTTGGGTCCTACCATATGAGACAATGCATTACTGTTTTTTACACTGAAGATCTGCTGCATTTAAGACCTTGTTTTCATCAACAGCTCTCAACTAGCCTGATGAAGTAGCTCTTACTTCACCCCTTACTTACTCCCCTCACCATACAAAAAGGGTAGTGAAGAATGACATCAAAAGTTTCACCAAAATCCTACAGTTGAAACAGTGATAACTCAAATCTCTTGTCTTTGATTTGTACTTTTCCAACTCTTCTTCTACTTGCAACTTCAAGAAATGGTGTAGAAGAATGGCTAAGGCAGTGTAAAACAAGCAAACAAAAAAACCCCTGAAGCTAAACCTTGAAACTGAATGATGAACTTCATCATTAGGTAACTGTCACAAAGCCAGGCGCTGCCTTAAGAACAACCTTTAAATGTGAGTAACAGAAGGAAGTGCCTGAAGAGACCCTGTTTTTGCTACCAGACAGCAAGCAGAATGTTTTAACCACTAGAGGACAGCACAATGTAAGCAACTGGGAGTGCTGCATTTGGCAGAGAAGACTCCTTGCTTCAGCGTTGAGAAATCCAACAGCGTGAAGCTGGAGTACTGTGTGGCAAAGTGAGAACTAAGCGTGGCACATCCTAGGACATGGATACAAGCACTGCACTGTCAGTGCAGGGGGCGAGCCATTAGGTTGAACATTGCTTTTCCAGTCAGGCAAAATAGCATCAACTTTGATGCAAAAGTTGTCCACCTGAGAACTGAGTAAAAACTAGAGCAAGACTTCAAGAAAGGGACCTGTTACAGAATTAATAAAGAAAACATTAGGGGTTGATTATTGTTGTTTATTCCTTAATATCATTACCTTCTCATTTCCAGAGACCTAGAGTACTACTCTGATCGCATTTAGGTTTCTGAGTCAAGTCATTGACCTCAACATAGAGGTTTCTCCCATTTTCTGATGCTGAGATGAGCCTCCTTCCCCTCAGCATCCAGATGAGGTGAATTTTAAAGTTTAAAGGGGTTTAGCAGGCATCTACACTGTACCAGGACAGCCTTGTAGGACTTTGGCAAGAACAGCACAGGATGAACTTAACGACTGGAATAGGAGATGTGATACAGGTCAGCGTTGCCTCAGATGTGGAATGAGAGAGGCAAGCAGACATACAGCAGAATTTGGTTGTCTCATTAGTTCTATCTAAGGAGCAAATTAGCCCAAATTAATGAAAATTATGCACCAGAGACATATAACACAATAATAAAAATAAGAAAATTAAGTTGATAGAAGGAATGGTATCTTGCTAATATGTAGATGACAGGCAGTGGCCTGAAGCAAGTGATTTTTATTTTTTTCCAAGAGTTAACAGCATAATTGCAGAACTCCAGCCTGAATGCAGATTTTTCCTTTACACAATGACACCTTGTCATCTTTCTGGACTCAGAAAAATCATTAAATCTTACCTAATTGCTGTACTCTGGAGATGAAAAGTCCTTCAGATTAAGGCTCTGTTGGGGGGCAAAGTGATATTTAACTATTCCAGAGTCTGATGGAGACCAATGCACTCAGTCATCTATGTCTATTTTTCTGTGTGAAAAATGAGAAGGTGCTTACCAAGCTGTACGTAAAAAGCACTAGAAAAAGAGCAAAATCTTACTGTTACCCCTGGAAAAGGGAGGCAAGGAAACTGTTTACCTGAGGGAACTACAGCTCTGGCAAAGTTGTGAGATACACAGGAAAGGAGTGAATGGGCTGTCCCTCAGCCAAAGTCCTCAAGTGCTATGATCTACAGCACAAGAAGTGGCAGACTTGAGGTGAAACCTGGAAGGGATATATATCTGTGCAGCAGGAAAGGCCATTTGCAGCTCCTGTTGCAGCAGTGCCCAGGACAGAATGGAGAAAAGGAAAATGCGAAAACAAAAGAACAACAACAGTACTATACAGAATTTATTTTTTTTTCCTTCTCCTATCAATGAATTAATTTACGTCCATTTTGGTCTAGCACAGAACACTCTTCTAGAGTTCAGAGGCAGTGAAATTTCTGTTGAACCCACTACAGAAAGAAAAGGATCCAAATGAAGGTCCACAGGCACTCAGATCTGGGCCTCTGCTCTGAGCAAAAGCGACCACATGCAACCACATCGCCTGGTGAAGTCAGTTACACCCTGTTTCCTGCTCCTCTGCACCAAAACAAGGTGTGTTTTTACAGACACCTCTTTCAGCACCAGTACTGGCTTTAACACTTTGTTCCCTCTGGCTTATACCCACCTCACACCACAGCCTTATTTGTGCCAGGAAAACTGCTGGTATGGGCACAGGCTGAAGTGTATTGAGGAAAATAACCCCCCCTAGAAAAGAGAGGAGAAAGAGAGTTGGATTAGTTCCCCAACCTAATTCACTCTGCAGCCACACAAACTGTTTACTGAGACAAATCAATACGCAGGTAAGGATGGGAAGCAAGCAAGGAGGAACAGTTGGGGATGACACTACCATGAGAAGGAAGTACGTGTGAATCCACAGCCTGGGGGAAGCTGAACCTGACCTTTAATCACTGCTGAAGCACATTTAACTTGGGCACTATCCAAACTATTCAGCTCTTAACCCTTTACCCTGAGCACCTAGACAAAACTCCGTGTTGTGGAGCTCTTTCCAGTTAGAAGACACTGGCACAGATGTTTATTCTAACAAAATAACTGGTTCAGTTACCACCAATTTCACAAATAATAATTAGCTGTAACTACTAGATTCAGTAAGTACTATTAATTGTCCTTTTAAGACCTTCCCCCAGCCTCACATCCCGCGTCCATCCTGCTCACCACCACACGGCAGGGGCACAGGGAGGAGCAGCCAGGCAGGGAGCGGGAGCCTTCTCCAGCAGCTCTGCTGCTGAGAGCACAGCAGCTTTCTTCATCAATGCCAGATCAGTTGTAGACTTCTGACTGCTTCCAGGCTGTGCTCCTCACCACAGGCTCGGCCTCTCAGCTGTGCCAAATACAGGCACTCGGCCTGTTTGAGTACTTACCCTCTAGCTGAAGGGCTAAAAGCCTCCCGTGGAGAGAAGGCAGAAACCAGAACTGACAAATTATTTATCGGCTATACTTTCAAGATAAAACTAACAACTCCTTTTAGAGAGTCTGATATTTTCCAGCTGTGCAAGAATCAAACAAATGAGACAGCTAAAAGGTGCCCCCAGCTGGTAAAGGGAGATGCTGCCCCAAGAGCTCTTGCTCAGCTTTCCTCCTCTCACCCAAGGTGTATTTTCCTCTCATGCTGTGGCTCTCACTTCAGTTCCTGAACTCAGCCGTTTTCCCTCTGCATATGTGCTTCCCCATTCTCCAGACTACTTAGTATTGTCCATTAGTCCAAATATTTGAGAAACGTGTGTCATTCCACCCCGAATTGCTGGCAAGCATGCCTATCTCTCAAAGTGCAATTTTTTGTAACATGAGTTAAGTAAAATAAAGGGCATCAATAAAAACTCCTGATTTCAGGAAGCCTTACCTTGACAGTTACTAATGAAATCCTCAGACACACATACACGCGTTTATCCATCTGAATCTTTTCCTTGGATACAATTGCTTATGAAACATGCATATATAGTCATAGAGAAAGAATTTATGCAAATAACTATAAAAAGGGGAGGGATGAGGGGATCAACAATCCTAATTTTTCCCTTGAATATTGTAAATTTTGATCTCAAGAAGAGGTAAGCTCTGTGTCCATGAGGAGGGGAAAACAACTTTTAAGAACTTTAATTGCATAATGTCTGCATATTCAGTGGCAAGTAACCACAGACATTTTACAGAGCCTTTTACTCTTTCCCCACTTTTGTCAGTTCATATTCCAAATTAGTCTTTAAAACATTATTTTAGCTGCAGAAAACACAGGGTCTGCTAGAAGCAGTACTCTGAGTCTAGCATCTAGTCTGCTGAAGCAATACTCCACAGATGTGCTGTGGGGTAATTCCAAAGACATACCCTTCAAAACATATTGAAACCCATTCAGTTCCATATATATTAATCTTATATCACCTGAAGAGGAAAGGCTAAAAAATAAATTTATTTCAACTTAAAAAACATAAAAGTAAAAATCTTCTAATGCCATCCTGAAGATTTTTTTTATGATGCCAAAGTTATACTGAGCCCTTGCGTCCAACAGTGCTTCCATTTGTTCTGCTCAGTGTTTATTTTCATTACTGAGCACATCAGACTGGCATTCCACTTGTAGGTGTAGTAAGAGAAAACCAAACTCGAACTCCCTTAGTACAATGCACAACTTTCAAGCCTGGATGCCTGCATTAAGCCAACTAAAGGTCAGAGGAGCTGCAATTATACTCGTCGGAAGAAACCAGAGGCCTCGGTCCAGAAATGCATCAATGGAATTGCTTAGCTTTCAGCTGTTAAGTACCATGCAGGAGTTTTGTGGTGCTTTCTTAGACAGGATCCTAAGCATGGATCTGGTTTCCAAATACTTTAAAGCAGATTTACAGGTGTTGCTAATACGACCGTCTCTCGCCCCTTCACTCCAAATAGCAGTACCCAGGCACGTGATGGTTTATCCTGCCTGTGCAGTCCCCTTCCTACACCACAGCTGCACGTGGAGCTGTATCTCCAGTTTTAAAGGTTCAGACTATGTGATTTATGAGAAGGATCCTGGCTGTCTCAAGTACAAGGCAACATCTCTAGCAGAACAGGGTTCACATTGGCATCAGTACTGATATCTTCGTATATCTCTGTCTGATGTTACAGGGAATTAATTCTCTGGTTTTAATGTTTCTTAGCCTTACCCAAAAGGTACACTAACAATGGGCAAGTGCCTTAGCTGGCCTGAATTGCTTTTTCAGCCCTAAAAGTTGCGTTTCCAAGTGAGAATTGAGATGCTGTGTGATGGCGTGATGAAAGCCTGCAGTGTAACAGTACGTGTTGCATCTCTTCTGCAGATAAAGAGGCAGCGTCACTTCCCAAAAACACTAGCACGGTGCTCTTCCACAAGTACGAATTCGTCTATTTTGGAGGTAGGGAGAAGAAAGAAAAGACTTCCCAATTACCATATTGTGTTCTTCATACTGTCAAGTGACCCATCACACTGTGGTAAAGCATGTGAGGTTGGTTAAACCCCTCTGCATTATATAAGCTGGTGGTCACAGAGAACAAGGCACATTAGACACATGACTAAGCAGGCTGCAACATGCAGAAATATGTCAACTTTGCCCTGGGAGACTTAAGCAAAAAAAAAATAATAAAATAAAATCACATAAACACAACCAGACTCTTCCACCACTCTGATTACAATTTTTGGTGGCAATTTTACATCAGATTTTCCCTGCCTGCCCTCTCCTAACTCCAGCTGTGGCACTTTCCCCACACCTAGTGCCAAGGGCAGGAAAGCATGACCGAGACTGCTGCCCTGGCTCTTTCCAGCAGTCACAGAGGCCCTGTCCCCAACCCCAACTTCATTTTATGCACGTTAACACAAATCTGGGGAGGTAACATGTCCTTAGGCTACACCACTTGCATTCAGTCACAGAAAACTGGGAAGGGAGCACATTCTCCATCTCATGATCAGAAAGCAATACTCGTGCTCCCTGCATCTCGCTTTTGTCACGCAAATATCTCTTATCTCAATTCCAACTCAGAGATTCTGGGGACATGGCCTAAATTAGCACTGACTGATGGCTTATCTGTGGAATTTAAATGAACTATATAATTTTCCATTCAAGTCCATACAGCTACATTGCAACAACATATCTACTCAACTGATTTGCAACCTAATGAATCTCTTAAGTCAGGTTCTGCGCTATAGTGGCTAACAAACTAATAAAGGTAGGCACAGTCCAAACACACTGAACACACACTGCCCGTGTACAGTGATTCACTTTCGTAAACCCTTTCTGACCTTTTACCTGATTACTTCCTCAAACACAGCACAGATGAATATATATAAAAAGCATACAGAAATTAGGAAGCAACTAATAGGGGGAATAATAATAGCTGCTTTTCTTCTTCTGTTATGCTAATCTTTACTACATGCCCTACCAAATATTTGACTAATTAATTTCCCTAACCTTTGATTAATTAATCAGATTGACTAAGGCATAGGTTGTGCCTCATTACGAAATGAGTGATAGCAGAGAATATTCGGATTTCTGAAGTATTGTACCTTTAAAGGCCTCATAAAGGGGTTATTATTTTAATATAAAAAGTATGAATATGGAATATAGCAATCTATAAATAGAATAGTTCTATATTTTTAAGCAATTGCATTTGTTTGTACAACTATCTTTCTGCCACTTAGAACATAAAGCTGGGCACAAGCAACCCTGAGTAAAACCATTAAATTTTGTCAACAAACAACATTTACATTTACAATCAGGGAAGATAAAGCTAACATGCTACAGCATTTCACCACAGACATTTACACCATAATGTGTGACAAATTGCAGGAATAAAAATAAACCCAAAATAGACCCAAACCCTCTCAAACAATATTTTCCCCATTTCACCTTTTGAAACAATTGCTAAACATCAGCCCTCCTTGGTCTCAGAAAATGTAAGGTAGCATGCCTCAGGAGGAAAACATGCTTTAAACACTTTGCAAGGCTTTGGCAGGACGATCAAAGCAGCACCATTACAATCCAGCCCACGATCAGCAGAGTTGAGATGGAAGAGAAAGACCAGAGCTGTTACAGCTTCTACCAGGACATCATGCATTTAAATAAACTTATGATAAATCTGAGAAGCAAAAGGCTAAATGTATTATTAAGTGACACCATCTTGCATATACTTTACAGTGAAAATTTGTGCGTTTTTTTCCCCCCCATAAGATAGAAGACTTTGTAAAATGGTGCTTCGATGCATTTTTTCCCCCTAAATCAGATATTAGGAAAAATGTTTTTACCATGAGGGCAGTCAAACGCTGGAACAGGCTTCCTAGAGAGGTGGCTGGTGTCTCACGCCTGTCAGTGTCCTGGAAGCATTACAGAATCACAGAATTTCTAGGTTGGAAGAGACCTCAAGATCATCGAGTCCAGCCTCTGACCTAACACTCAGACAGTGCCCTCATTTATGTGCTTTAACTTTTGGTAAGCCCTGGTGCAGTCAGGCAGTTGTATTCAATGGTCTTTGTAGGTCCCTTCTAACTGAATTATTCTGTTCTATATGAATAATTTCTTAGTAGAGTGCAGGGACTGTATCATCAGTATGCTAAAACCAAGGAGCAATGGTTTCTTGCAGTGTCACAGAGCTGACTGGTCACTGCCAGGCTGTGCTACGAGTGCGTAACCGGGAGAGACAGTGAAGCTTACTGCGCACTAGCAAATCTCCAGGGAGTGGCAGAATTGTGAAAAAGTCTGACTACTAAAAGGTGAAGTCACCAGAGTGATGTTTTGCAATTATCGGTGATGCTCACCTTCAGCCACGCAGCAGGATGCCTGCTTTGCAGCCCTGCTAGGGGTCACTGCTCAGCCACGCAACATCTGTCTCCCTTTGCCCATGTGAACGTGGGACACTTTGCCTGAAGCGCTGACGCTGGAGACAACGCACCAGGTCAGAATGAGTCACCCAATGAACTCTTAGCCGAAATCACAGATCTATATTACAGAAGATACTACAAGCCCCACAGGGAATCAAATCTTCTTACCCTTGGCACCATATCAGAGTAACAAAAAGCTCCTGTCCCAAACAACTTACCATCTCGATTGCTGACAAGATGCCACAGGGGGAGAAAACACAGGAACAAGATGCAGATGGATAAGCATAAAAATAGCCTGAAGAAAAGCAGAAGTCCCAGCTTCTGCTTTTCCTAAGCATTTATTTATGCCCTTTAGCAGCATGGCACCTATGCAGATGACTGAAAGATACCATAGTCACCCTTGAAGAGAAAAATTCTTCCTCCCTGCACTTGGGACTCTATTTCCTCATTGCTTTATCAGCAAAAGATTAGCACAGCTCAAGGAGCTCAGGCACTCAAAAGCTGATGCAAACTGAAAGACATTTGGCAGTTTCTTGAATGCTGCAACAGGCAGACACCCACAGGTACAGATGCAACCCGGTGAAATCCTCAGGTCCGCAGTAAGGCTTAATCAGGCTATCAGACACAGCTGTACCAGTCACATGCTGGGGATTTCCCAGCTGCTGAGTCTATCTCCCCGAGCACACGTAGTTAGAAACAATTCACTCACTATGTAATCAGCAACCATGTGACAATTTCATTTTCTCTATCAAAACATCCAAACAAGTCCGGATTCAGAAAAACTGTGGCTCCATCACTGGGACTCTTAGTACTCTTCTGCACTGGTCATGTCAAGTAAAATACTGCTGCTACAGTAGGACTGTACTTGTTTTTGCACAAAGTCCTTCTGTGATCTTTATTCTGGAAGGAACTTGATGTTCTTATGCATTCATGAGATCTAAAGATTTCTTTAGCAACATGATCTCGACCAAATAATTCCAACCACAGGTCAAACGTGTGACACTCAGTCATCACTGGGTTTTGAGTCTCTGTCACTGGAAAATAATAGGTGAAATTTATGTAGTAAGATGTCCACTTTAAACAGAGCACAAAGTAACTAAGGGAAGAAAAACCTCTATTTAAAGTTATTTGTACATTCTAGTTTCTTTTGGTTACTGTTCCTCTCCTTCCTCAGTTACAAGACAGACTGTAAGCCTGTGAGGGAATAGGTGCAGTTGAATTCTGTCAGGTCTTTCTCTCCCTCTCTACTCATCATCTATCAGTATTTCAGTTCTCTACATAATAAAACTTATGGAAAGAAATAATTCTTTACTTCTGGTTCCTTCTTTAGCCTGGGGCAGGTCTAAGTGGGAATATTACTAAAACAAAATTAATAATAATAATAAAAAGGTTTTATTACAACATATATGTATTAAGGAAACACTGGTTTTGCTGGTCATATCTGCTGCAGATAGGAGAGCCTTCAGCTGCAATAATTTTATTTCAGGAATGCAAGAGGAAGTCCGAGGGTAAAATTTCACTGAGGGCCCTACCCTTGGAAGGCATCTGATTTAAAATAAGGAAGCAAGGACATATGCTCTAATCACAATTTTTGTTTATCACCTCCGGCTGGCTACTGCTTCTGAGTGCTGAACAAATTTGAGTGCTCACTGCAAAACATGCAGCGTGCTCGACTCCTGGAGAGTAATCTTTAGTAACACCAACGTCTATAGCTAGATGGTATAGTTCCATCAACACTCATATCATCCCATCTTTTACCACACCCTATTCTAAAATAAGAAACAAAATTATTCAACATTTTCAAATAAAAATGTGATACATCTTCCAAATATGCAGGAGTCTCAGTTGCAGAGGCAAAATGCATAAAATTAAGAAAGAGGAAGACCTGCTTCAAAAAAAAAAAAAAAATCAGAAAACTGAGATTTAGTTTTGATTTCTGCTGGTATACTAGTATGGAAGGCACACTGGTGAAAATTTTGGATAGAGAACTCAATATTGTGATATCTGAACCTCCTTTTTGCAGCACCACTTCTGGAACACATGGCATTATGCTCTGAGCAAGCATGGTCAGGTGGACAGCAGACATAAGTGCGTGACCTGGGGAGGCTTCACCAACAGGGCTTTTTATGAAAATTCAGTCCCCATGGTAATCTGACCGCTGAGAAAAACCCTAAGGGAGGATGGAGCAAGTGCTACCCCTATCTCCACTCCTCTGACGTACTACATTGCTCGCAGGGAAATGGGAAACACCGGCAGCAAACTGGTGAAGTTTTTGGTGTGGCACTGATGGGTTGGTGGTCAGCACACTGTAACGCACTGGAGGATGGGAGCACATGGACAGCCAGCAGGCATCTGAGAGGTATGGACGTCCAGTCTGAGCTGGAGACAAGCTGGAGTAGGCAGGAGAATGTTGAAGTAGCAACTCCTGAGGAAGCCGGTAAGAAAGCAAACACTGTGCGTGCTCCAACAGTCCTTGAAGACATTGAATGACTGTGGTAAGGAGTATTAAAAGATGACATTTACATGTTGAGGGTGGAAGTGGTAATAAGCCAGAGAACGTGGAATTGTCACCAGTGGAAAAGAATGATGCCATTATTATTACTCATGAACATTGTGCAATGATTCACCTGATTTAAATGCTAAAAAAAGATCTACAACAACAGAAAAAACACTGAATGGGCATAATGAGTGGGAGAGATGAGAGACACGCTCCAGCATAAAGCCATGAGTGTGGTATATGTGTTACAGTTTCAGTAACTTATAAGTGTACTATCCTCACAGAGTAATTAAAATGATGATTGAAATTGAGGTGAGAAAGTCAAGTGAGAAGTTTTTTTAGGAAGAATTCTTAGGATGTGCAACAAGTTGCAATGCCACAGTCAAGGACAGGATAATTTTGGCTACAAATGGTGTCTTGTTTCACTACTCAGTTGTGATCAGTAGTTAGTAAATGAAGAATAAAGAGAAACAGTGATAATCCATACAAATTAGGAGTCATGAAGGGCAGAAATCAATAAGGCTAAACTCGTGAGTAGAAAGACCAGAGCTGACAGGACCAATGCAGCACAAAGTATTTAGAAAATGTTATTGATACTACAATGGTTGTAGCAGTAATGTAAACCTTTGGCCAGATAGAGGTGATAAAATTTTCTAATGGTGATGCAGGAGAGGCAAAAAATTTTAGAAATATTTCTATTCTCTATTTGGAAAGATGTTCTTATGTCACATGATGATGACCAAGTATTTTCCAAGCAGGATGTTCTACAACAGGTACTAGAAATAAACACTTCAAAATCAGCCAATCCATCTACCTTACACCTGACAACTAATGCTAAGAAGGCCTTAGAACTAATCATGGTTATTTTAATAAATTAAGGCATTCTAGGGAAATTCCATTTCACTGGAAAAGTGCTAATGTTGTGCCAACAAAAACAAAAGCCAGCAGGATGACTCAGAGAGCTAATGGGTAGTTAGGCTGACGTTACTTCCAGGTAATAAAATGGTAAAGCTGTTATAAAATTATATTAATAAAAACTAATGTACAGGGATATAATTAAAATCAGTTAACATTTTTGTGGCAAATAGATCCTGTAAAATAAAGTTATTACACTGCTTGATGAGACAGAAGTTTAGCTGATGGAAGTAATTGTATAGATGTAATATATTTTGGAGAGTATTTGACTTAAGAGTGTATGATGTTCCAATTATGAACATTAGCACAACAAAATATCAATAAAACATGTTAAATGGACTAAAACCAGAAAAACATAAGAAAGTAATAATGGAGACCTGTAACTTAATGTGCTTTAGAGCTTATCATTTTCATCAATGATTTGGAAACAGATATCAATACCCATAGTAATAAGATTTGAGAGATTAATAAAAATATAAGTAAGGATGAAAGCTGAAGATAGCCATATACAACAATTTGGACCAGTTAATAAACCAATCCCATTCAAACTAAACATGAGTTAATACAGCCAAATGCAAAGGGATTTGACCTAAAAGCTTTATAAAACTATATGCAACACTAGTGAAACCTACGGTGAAACACCACACCAAGTTTCACATTTTAAAACATTTTCAAAAGAGAATATGAAAAGCATACAAAATGAAGAGAAAATGTCTTACAGTGAGATTTTCAGAGAAAAGACTTAAAGTTCATTTATTAACATTATTAACTAGCTTGACTTAATGTTTCACAGAAAATACTGGCTCCTACAGGGCTCCTCAGTGCAAACACAAAGTTCAGATAGGAAACAAGGCACATTAAATAACAACTTATTTATAACTTAAATTACCATGGGAATTCTCAATGGCATCTTTAGTTCTTGAGGTCTTCAAGTCAAGACACCATTTTGAGTGTTGCAGCTGAGCACATAGATACTTACTACTGCAATTGGACACCAAATATTCTGTACAGGCTAATAATGACCTATGATACAGAGAGCAAATTAACTGACTTAGTAGTCCCTTCCAGAATTATTTATTCCTGTAGATACTGTAATATGTTTTACTCTTTCTTCTGAAGAAGTCAACTGACATCACTCACTTTGGAATATTCTCTGTTGAGATCTGCCAGAAATCACTGAAGATTGTCATATCCTCAGGCTTATGATCAGAATAAGTATTCTCTGGAAAGGAAATTAAATGGGTTGTGTTTAAAAAAAAAAAGGAGTAAAGTGGTATGGGGTGGGGAAGGAAGCAAAAATCAGTTGATCCCACTGAGATTAATATGTGATTTTCATGGAAGCAAAACCTGAAGCAAAGAGTTCATAAGACTACAAAAATAGTTCTAAATTTTTATTGAGTCTAAATATCTAAATCTTATCTAAGTTGAGTGGGATTTAATAGTTCTTAAATTCCACTCAATTTCTTCAGTAGCAACTACTTGTCTTTGTGTGTGGTGCAACAACAGTCAGGCCTTCCGCTTCTCCAGAAATAGCCATGTCATAAGGTCCTTCTTCCTTGTTTATATATGTATAGACATCAACAAGACTATATAAAGCCTTTCCATAATTTGTTCACATACAGTTGTTTCCTTTTGATATATTTTTAGATCAATTGCACTTAAACAATACTTCCTCAACCTACTGAACTTTGCTCTGGGACAGATGATCAAGAGCCATGCAGATAATGTACTGTTTAAGGGATGATGGCCAACACTTTCCACAATGCTTGTTGAAAGGGCATGGTATTATTCTCCTCACCACGGAGTTTAGCGTGACTCTGAAGTGGTGCAATGCTCATGTTCACACACTCTGCATCTGTCCTTTGAATTGACTCTGGAGATAGGGACAAATATATCAATGTGCAAGAAGCAGAAGCTAATTCGTGATCTTTCAGATTTCTAATAAACTGTGTCACTTTGAAGAAAAGAGTTTTAAGTCTCTTTCCAAATAATTTTATCAAAAGCAGAATTGTGAGGAAGAAGATGACTCATGAAGGAAAAGCTGTGTCTGTGCACTCCTTTCCTTCTTTGGTATGGGGTACAAAAAATCTGTAAACATTTGAGAGTGTATTTTCCTAAGGCTAGGTTACTGCATGCCTTCAAGCATATTACCTTAGAATATCAGGAAATGGC